TGAAGATTAAGGTGCGTTGAGGCTTAGAATAGAGGACACCTCCAAAGATGACACTTTTACAGAGCTGAGTTGATTATGTGACAATGACCTTGTTTGACAATCAGCGGTTAGCGGTTCACAAATAGCGAATTGTGTTAACGGGTTTGACCAGCGAATTGTATCAACTATTTGTAAAAATATGTTTGGTAAAATTAGTTGTTTAGATTAGCGGTTAATACTATTATTATTATTATTATTATTATTATTATTATTATTATTATTATGTAATAATAAAATAAATAAGAAATAATACTCCGTAACAAGATAAAAATAATAATAATTTTAACAAGACAATAATAATAATAATAAAATTAATAATAATAATAATAATAATAATAATAAAAACAAAATAACACATTAGAAAAAAAAAAAAAAAAAAAAAAAAACGGGTGTGGGATCAATTTTGATCCCACATCGAATGTGGAAGCTAAGGGAAAGAGGGAGAGTTAAAGGATGTCAATGGGGCGGGGCGGGGGCGGGGGCGGGGAATGGGATCTCCGTCCCCGAAATAGCTCCCCATTTCCCTACCACGCGTGGATTTTTCGAGGACAGGAAATCCCCGTACCTTTTTTAAATTATGTCAATGAAAAAAAAAAGATTAATATTATTAAAATTTTAAATTGTTAAGCTTGAATCCTTAAACAAAGTCTAAAATACCTAGATTAATCTAACTTGTCAGCCGCTATAAGCACTTGTACAGCATCTAGTGTCAAATCATTGATGCTGGAAACAAACTTCTTCAGCTCATCACCATATCATGCATGAAGAGTAGCCACGGCTACACCAGTTGCAAGAGGCCGGGTGCCATCTCTTTAGAACAGGACTGTATATTTCTTCTTCATTAAAAGCCAGATTACTAATATTTTGTGCAAGAATGGAAAGGATTGCTCCTGTAATAACAATTATGATAAGCTATAAGCCATTTTTCAGCCCAACCTAAGATCAAATAGTATAGAACTCAAAATCTTGGATTAAGTTGGATCCTTTGTTCTTTAATTTGCATCCTTTTGTACTTCTAACAAGAGATTCTCAGCACCAAAGTTAACATAATTATCTGATGGAACAGGACCCATAAAAAACAAATGTTATTGAACATTGGAATTAATTAACATTCTAATTAGCTCGGGATCTTTTCTGCATCTTCACTCCAACAGATGCTCACAGGCTCACACTCACAGTCACAATAATCAACTAATCACACTATCACAGATTCACAATATAAATTATACATATTAACCATTTAAGATTTAATCACATAGTTACAGTGTTACACATCATTAGTCATTACTAATTCAGTAACTATACTAATACAAAACAAGTTAAACAAAATTCAAGTTATTCAACAACAATAATAAGTAACTACTAAGGATGTCCTCATCCCTGAAAGAGGACCTCTTGCAAAATGATGTGTAAGATGATGTGGACTTTTTATTTTTATTTTGTTTTAATTTTTTATCCTATGTGGCTTGAAAGCTTGCTAAAACCTACAACACTATAAATAAGTCATTACAATTCACAAAACATGTTCACGCATATAGAGGAAAGAGGCTGAAATGAATAGCATTGGTCGCGACCAAACGAGGCTGTGCAAGGGAAGTAGCACTAGTCTAGCGTTTCTTGAGCTTTATAATAAGTTATTGTTTGGTAAAAATTATTTAACTTAATTAATTTATTTATATATATTAAATATATTTTGTGATTACATTATCTAAAATGTTTGTTTACTTTTTATGAATCATTTATAGTCGATGTAGTCTATAAGTTTCTATTTTGCATCATCATATTCAAATTAATCTAGAAAAAATTTGGAATTGATCTAACTGAAAGAAAATGTATTCATAATTATCATATCAATAGATCAAAGAAGATGTGTTATTTATAACTAGTATGATACCCATGCGATGCATGGACTACTTATTAGTAATATTATTGTGAAATTTTAAATTTTTTTTTTGTTCCAGAATGAGGGTGATACCCAACTAAACTAACTCCACCACTACATGGAGTGGTCACTAGAGGACCTGGCCCCAAGACGTTCTTGCTGGACAGCTTCCCGGATCTCTTGCGGCGGCTCATTTAGGATACTTACACCTAGTTGGTGCGACAAGGCCATTGTGGCGAGCTTATCCGCTATAGCATTTTGCTCTCTGCCAACATGCGTGTAAATAACCTCTTCCAGCCTCCTGGCTTCACGTTTGCAACGGCGCGTAATGTTGTTCATATGACCTTCGTCTCTTTTCATGCTATTAACAATATTCAAGGCGTCACTTTCCACCACCAACTTTCGCACCCCAGCATCTCTCGCAAGCCTTATGCCTTGTAGCATCGCCCAGGCTTTCGCTTCTTCCACTTGGCACCTCCCTATGTTGTGCGTAAAGCTTCCTATCCAGTCCCCATTGGCATTTCTCATTATTCCTCCACATCCTGACATGCTGTTGTTCTTCATGCACCCATCCACATTTACTTTCATCCATCCCACCGGGGGTCTCTCCCATGTTTTCGTCACAGCTCTTCGCGGGATGATAACCCCTTTGTTCCTGCACTTTTCAAAAGCCGCCTTAACTTCCACCTCGTAGCTTGAGAGCCAATCAAGCTTCCTGTTCGTTGGCACGGAAACATGTCTGAAAACTTCATCATTACGCCACTTCCAGAGCCACCAGAGCCTGATGCCAAAGCGCTCTGGCCATCCCACATCAAAGCCACGCCTGACGTCTCCCCGCAAGTTCCTGGACAGCCACTCTTGCCAGCTTAGGATACGTAAGTCAGCCGTAGTTCTTCGTGGAAGCGCCGCCGCCCAAATTTCTGTTGCGGCTCTGCACGTCCTGAACAAATGGTTTTGGTCTTCCGGGATACCTGCACAACAAAAACAAGTAGCGTCAGCTGCCAGTCTCCTCCTCACACGTTCTGCATTCATGAGAATTCGTTCTTGTTTCACTAGCCACAAGAAAAAAACATATTTTTCCCGGCAGTCGCAACTTCCATATTCTGCCACATTCTCTGTCTGGCTGGGTCGCTATTAGCTTGGCGATCATGTCGTATGCTGATTTCACCGAGAATTGACCTTTTGCGTCAAGCCCCCACCCCAGCTTGTCATCCACACCTTCATCCGCAAGCATGAAACCTGCTAGCTGTTCCAACGCGTCCCGCGGCAGCAATTGTTCCAACCTCTCCCACTTCTAACCTCGATGGCCATCCCAGTAATCTTCGACATTTGAGTAAAGCTCTGGGAGGCTGAGGGGGCTGCGCAGTTGGTCATACAGAGGCTTCACCGATAACCACTTGTCCATCCAAAACCTCGTGGATTTCCCATTATGGACCACTTTGGTAAGTCCTTCTTCCAGGTAAGGCCACACTTCGTTGATTCCCTTCCACACTGCTGATGTCTTTCTCCTTCGCCCACTGGATACCTGCAATTCTCCAAAGGTGTTGTATTTCGCTACCAGTGTACGCGCCCACAAGCTCTGGGCTTCGAATTTCAACCTCCACCCAAGTTTGATCATGTAGGCCAGGTTCAGTTCATGGAGCTTTCGTAGTCCAAGGCCCCCCATTTGCTTGGGTGTTGTAACCACTTCCCAATTAGTCAAACTTATCTTATTACCACCTGTAGCCGACGTGCCCCAGATAAATTTTCTGGTGCGTTTTTCCATCTCCAAGCACAGGCTCTTAGGTAAGCACATTGTCTGCATTGTGTAAGCCGGGATGGCATTCAGCACTGACTTTGCTAGCACTACTCTCCCTGCCGTGGTGAGTGTTTTGGCTCTCCATCCTTCTAACCGGGAGGAAATCCTGTCCAACAGACCTGAAAAGGTGTTACATGTAATACGACCATGAAGAGATGGGACACCTAAATACCTCCCGGGGTCGTTTGTGGCCTCAATACCAATCCGGGTAGCAATCGCTGTTGCTAGCGTGTCATCCGTATTACGAGAGAAATAGATGCGTGATTTGTCGAGGCTGATCTTTTGCCCTGACTCTTTACAAAAATTCTCCAGGCACTTCTGTATCACTTCCACTTGGTCGAGGGATGCCTCCGAAAAAAGAACCATGTCATCTGCAAAACAAAAATGAGACAAAATTGGACCCTTACTAGCAAAATTGATACCTTTCCATTTCTTACTCTCGACTTCCTTGGCAATGGCCTGGCTAAGACGTTCCATGCATAGGACAAAGATAGCGGGAGACATGGCATCCCCTTGACGGATACCCCTGCCCGGGCTGAAAGAGGCGGTCACGTCAACATTCCAAGCTATAGACAGCTTAGATGTTCTGATGCAATTCATAATGATCCTCGTCCAGCATTCGTTAAAGCCCGCATGCACCAGAGTATCCTGTATAAAATCCCAAGATAAGCGGTCATAGGCCTTCTCTAGGTCAAGCTTGATCACCATGTGACCGACGGTGCCCCTCTTTTCCCGCATTGAATGCATCACCTCTTGATAGATGATAATATTGTCTGTAATCTGTCGGCCTGGAACAAAAGAACTTTGATACGGGCCAACCAGGGTAGGCAGAACGTGCTTTAGCCTGTTCGTGATTGTCTTCATTATGATCTTGTAGCTCACGTTGCAGAGGCTAATAGGCCTGAACTGTTTAATATTCTCCGGGCTCGCGACTTTTGGAATTAAAACAATGAGCGTGTCATTAAGCCCTTCGGGGAGGCTTCCAGATGCGATCGCTTTCTGGACCATTTGGAATAAGCTATCTCCTGTTATCTCCCATGTATGTTGATAAAAAGCAGCGGGAAAGCCGTCTGGTCCCGGGGCTTTATACGGTTTCATGCTTTCCAGAGCTCGATGGACTTCCTCCTTCGTGATAGGACCGTTAAACTTGCGCCAATCCAAACTAGTCAATCTGGGAAAATTTGCCTCAAGATCCGGACTGGGCCGCCTAGTCTCTTCATTAGCAAAAAGCTGGTAGTAATAGTCGTGTACATGAGTTTTCAAAATGGTCTCGTCTGTAATCTAGTTGCCATTTTTATCTTGCAATCTCGTCACATTGTTCCTTGATTTACGAATTGTTGTCGCCGCGTGGTAATAAGCAGTATTTCTATCTCCTGAAGCAATCCATTCTTCCCTGGACTTTTGATACCAAAAAAGTTCTTCCTGGTGAAGAATTTCTTCAAGATCTGCCCTCAATTTCCTCTCTAACTTAGCCAACCCTCTGTGGAAGGATATTGCCAGCCTACTTTGGATACCTCCTAGCCTGGCTAGCAAGATCTTCTTCCTGATAAAAATATTCCCGAAATGTGCTTTATTCCAGTCCGCCAGCTTCCCAGCTACGTTTGACACGTTGTTCGGGATCTCACGGGTTGTCATCCAATCTCGCCGGACCACATTAAGGAAATCTGGGGGCGTGGGCCAAGCTGCTTGATACATGAAACAAGGTGGACTTGATCTCCTCCTATTCTTTTCGGTATGAATCAGAACAGGAGCGTGATCAGAAGCTATTCTAGGAAGGTGGGATACGCTTGCATCTGGAAAGCTAGTACGCCACTCCGTATTGCATAGGGCTCGATCTAGGCGGGCCCCTTTGAAGTCGTTTTCTGAGCCATCCTTTACCCAGGTGAGACTTGGCCCGGAGAAGCCCAGGTCTATAAGTCCTTCCTCTTGGATCCAGTTCACAAAGTCCGAGCTTCTTTGCATAGAGAACGAACTGTAGTTTCTTGTTTCCTCCCTTTGTACGACTGAGTTAAAATCTCCGGCCACCAACCAAGGGCCGGAGATGGCCCTCTTAGATTGCCTGAGATCGTTCCACCGGAGGCGTCGGAGATGATGTGTCGGGCTTCCATACACCGGGAGAAAAACCAAGGACCCTGTCCCGGTTTCTCCACCTGCAAGAGGATAAATTGGGGGTGAGTATAGATAACATTTACTTTCACTGGGTCTTTCCAAAAGACCCAGATACCTCCGCTGAAGCCGATTGCTTCCACACGGACCCAGTCAGAAAACCCGAGCTTATTACAAATTTTGTTAGCCTGGGTCCCTGACACTTTAGGTTCAAAGAGCCCTAAAATGTTCGGCTTATGGACCTTTAAGAGGTTACTGAGGGCGCGGTGGAATGACTTCCCACTCGCCCCTTGGCAATTCCAAAGTAAACTAATCATTAAAAACGAACAAAAAAGAGAGAGCGCAAGAACACAAAACACAAAACAAAAGCTCCTGGACCGCAAAAGAGCCGCTCTCACTGGGCATCTGTGCCCCCTTCTCCCTCGTGCTGCGACACACTCCTGTCTAGTGCCATGACTACGTCGCCCTCCTCATCTAGGTGACCCGGCGGATCATTGTGGTGCTCGTTGGTGGCTTGCCAAACCGGCGAAGGGAGGTCATCCGCCCTATCACCATGGACCACCCGCGTCGAACTGATAACCAATCCACCTTGCGCGCCTCTAATGACCACATATTTGTCCTCCTCCGCTGCGCGCCTGAGACTAGAACCACCGCCCCTTCGAGCTCTAATTGCTTGCTCTCCCCCCTTGCTCCCTGTTCCATTCCCCACACATGGCTCGTTTAGTATTTGACGCTCAGATGCTCTCACATTCGGCCTTCTTGTGTTATTCCCCATTGACCCTGCCCCCTGCGCTGATTCATTGTTCTGTTCAGTATGCTCCGCAGCTCCTCCTTGTTCAGGCTCTCTATTTGGCTCACCCTCTTCCTGACCTCCACCATCTTCCTCTTGATTATTTAAAGGGGCAAAACGTGATGCCTGGATTCCATTTGGTCTCCGCGCGTTTCCTCCCACTCTTCGTTCTCCTGCTGCTCCCATATTGCTTACTTGATGTTTAGGTCTAGCCCTCTGCTTACGTCCCGGGGCTATCATCCAAATGCCAAAAGGTTCGGAACCAATAATGGTTCCCTGGTTCCCATGCCCAGCCTTCTCCACCGCGGTGGCCTGCCCTTGTGCGTTCCCCTCTGGCAAGTTTTCCTCTGTCGTCTTTTCTATAACCTTCGATGGGCAGTTATCGGTTGCATGGCCGTAGATGCCGCAAGAAAAACAGATCATGTGAATGCCTTCGTAAGCGACTGACCGCACCTTGTCGTTATATTTGAATTTTGAAATGAGTGGCTTGGTAATATCCACCTCCACGCATATACGCGCAAACATCCCTCTCGAAACCAGACTTGTTGCCTGATCTACTCGGATCGTTCTGCCCACCTTGTTCCCTAGTTTCCTAAGGAAAATATAGTTGTAATACTCCGCCGGTATGCATGGGATCCGTGCCCACACCAACACTTTTTCTGTGGTATCTGAGTAAGGATCGAAATCAGGGACCCAAGGCTTCACTAGCAAGTAGTGATCCAAAACCATCCAAGGCCCCTCAAACATAGCAAATTCAAGATCCTCCACTGATCCAAAACGAACTAAAAAATAATCATTGTCAATAGCAATTAGATCCAAGCTACCTTTTAGTTTCCACATGGAGGTTAGCCTCCTCAGCAGATATGCGTATCCCACTTTCCTACCCATTACCTTGATGATGAGAGCCTTCCGCCAGGGTGCCCGAATTGCTGCCACCTCCGCTTTCGTCAGCCTGATCGTAGGGCATAAAGGATCATCATCTTCATCATCCGAGATCTCATCAGCATCCTCTTCCGATCCTCCCTCCAGTGTGTCTCCTCCCTCGGCGTTCTGGCCTGTCACACTATCTGCGTAGGATCTGCGATGTGTTGCGATCATCTCCGTTGATGCACGCTGGCTGGCTGGTGCTTCTGACGCCCTCTCTTCCGACTCATGCACCAGCGAGCCCCCACGATCGTCCGCCATTTCTCCGAGGGGTGTCTCGTTCACCATTTCCACGTCCGCATGCAGTGCATGATCCCCCACCGCAACCATCCCCAGGTGTGCCCTCCCTTCGTCGCTGCGTTTCGGCTTCTTGGTGCTTCTCTCCAGAAGATCGGATTCCTCCGTCGACCGTTGGCTTGGGAGTGTTTCGCTCATCGTTTCAATCCTCTTCCACTCTTTCCCTTTTCATTGTGAAATTTTAAATGGAACAAAATATCTTCTTCTTTTTTTTTTTTTAATTTGAAATTTATATGTTAAAAATGTAATTTTATATAAGTTGAATAATTTAATTAAAAAAATCGACATCTAAATGCAAGACAATTAATATACAATTACTAAAATGCAAAGTATTATAAATTTACAAATTAATCTAGAATTTCATGGTACATAGTGTTAGTTGTTGATGTAGATCAGAACTTGTACTTGAGTCATTCGTAAATGATATTTTAAGATTATCGAGATAGAACTGGCTATTTGGATTGTTGACGCGAATACATTTCTTTGATTTGATTTTTGAAAATACTTATTTATTTAGGAGGTTGTAACATTTTGAGTAGATGTTAAATATTTATTCTCTGCAATAAAAAAAATATTATATACATATATTTAATATCAAGTATTATGCAACTTTATATTCCAACATAAATTAATTTAATACTAACCGTCAATCAACATATTTAAAGAATTCGATAGCAATCTTTGATATAATATGTATTTACATATCTATACTGTATATTTACATATAAAATATAAAATATTATATATTATAGTCGTGAGAAGGCATGGTTGATTCTAGAAACCATACCTCCTCTATCTCTCATCTTTCTGCATTTCTACTTGCAAGCAACATAGATTTGTTGGAGATGTGGTATTTGGAGCTCTATCGTGCAAGGAATTGATACTATATTTCTGCGATTTTGAACACCGATCGTTGCTCATATATGTACGTTCAAGGAGAAATTTGTGCGATTCTAGCTATTTCAACATAGCTTCGCTGTTGAGTTTGATCATTAACTCCATTTCTACGAATTCCTAAGGTTTGTTGAAATTCATCTCTATGCTTCCATGAAATGACCCTTAGAGAAGAAACCGGGATTGGGGTAGAAGAAGAGAGAATTAGGGTTGAGAGGGGAAGAAGAAGATAAATTGAAAACTACTAACAATCTAAAGAGTATAAATACTCCACTATTCCTTCTACTTAGCCGGCTCCTTAACGGAAAGCCAGCTGGAACAACAGAATTCAAAAAGAGATTAAACGACGTCGTCAGATGGCGTCTTCAAGCACTTCCAACCGCTGCCCCATACGACTTCGTTGGACGCTTTATTAAACAACGCCATATGACATCTGTGACTTCCATCCTTCAGTTCCCTTCTTCACTTCCAGTTTCTTCACCTTGGGGAATCGTTACACCTCCATTTCAATACTAAATGTCCTGTATTTCTTCTGAAGGCAAGATCAAACCCATGCATGTCAGATCACAGTACATATCTGGGTGTTTGAAAGGTACAGACACATACAGAGGAAAGTGTGGAAGATCTAGGAAAAGGTAAGTGTGATTAGGACTTTTGATTTTATTGTTCAACTGATTTCAATACAAATTTCGCATGAATGATGTAAACAAAATATGAAAGGTGCGTTACGGATGCAAGATTTTAGGCATGCTTGTTTGCATCTATTTGCTTTATTCATGTTTTGTGCTTAATTGGCTATATTTGTCAAAAAAAAAAAATGATTTTGAAAAAGATGTAGTGAACTATAGATTACAAATTAGAGATTTCATAGAGTTGTAAAATTACAATTCGACTACAATAAATAGTAGTCTTAAAAAAAAAAACAACAATAAATAATAAATATGGTATGTAGAGATATATGTTCAAGCTTTCTTTTTCTGTACCTTCTTGACCTAACCTGAAAATTACACAGTTTAAGCTTAGAAAGCTAAAACCTGTATTAACTTTCCCAAGTAACATAGCAAGTTATAAAGCAAGCTATTCTGCACTACACAAATCATTTCTGGTGAAAATTTTATCTGGTCTCTGTCATACACATAGTACTTTTAAAATACTATTACTCACAATGAACTTACCACAAAAAAAGAAAAAAAAAATACAAACACCACAGATATAATAGTAGATGACAGTAATATAAATGCAGGTCTAAAAGAATCAAACTGAAAAAGATAATATTACAATGTGAGTATCCCACTGAAAAAAAAAAAAAAAAAAACAAAGGTCAATAAACATAAAACTAAGTTTGCAACAGCTATGCAGACTACCTCTACCTGTAATTGTTAAAAAAATTCAATAAAAAATAGAAAACTGAAAATACTTAAAAAAAATATTGAATATTTGACAAATTAGCATACCTTTCAACCATTGAAGCTGCTGACAATTAACCCCAGCCCTTGTGATTGCAAAATATCAGAAAACTGCAATGAATGAGACCAAAAAAATCACAAAACTAAAGATAAAAACAGTAAAAAAAAGATTTTACATTGCAAGTTGACAATGATTTACATAGACATTAGTTAATACAAATACACCCAAAAAAATTAAATAACCAACTGGTTTACTGTCACAGGCACAGGTTTTTCGTTATGCGTAAGTTGAAACCTGTTGGCAGAACATGTAAAATGGTAAAACTGGTTGAATAATTTATCTACTTTATTTTTTTCTTTGAGTACTATATCATCTACTGTATTTAAATGCATACCTTGTGTCATGGAAGAGACACTCATAACACTATCATTTCACTTCCTCTTGTGTCATGGAAGAGACACTCATAACACTATCATTTCACTTCCTCTTTTATCTCAGATTTCATATGTATGCCCTCAACAATCTTCATTCGTAGAGATTGTTTCCAAAGACTTATTCCATATGCAAGAACGTATAAAGGTGAACATGACAATATGCAATTTGTATATGAATTGTAAACAATCACTACAATCCCTGTTATATGGAGTGTTAGTGGTGTATTGGAATTGATATAAACTGAGTTGTTTATATAACTTGTAAGGAAGAGTTGTATAGATATGGTCATTAATGCTAATTCTTCGGATACCAAAGAGACTCGACAGCTAATTACTGCAAATGTTTCGGATACCTATGTTTCTATGTTGAAATATGAAAGGTCGCAATTAATTAATATCGTATGCAGATCATGTTCAATTATCTTCTAACCAGCCAAATACTCTAAAATGCGTATCAACCTTTCGTTTCCTATCTTTAAATACATAACTGCTGTATATATTCTTCAACACTAAAAACGACCGTGTTTTGTTTGGGCGGGATTTTTGGCTCTATTGTGAATCCCTAGGCTTGTGGCTTTTTTTATATAGTAAGATGTGTTTTCTGTTCAAGCCATTGTATCAAATTAACCATGCTTTATATTTTGTTATGAATATTTTTATCACGTACATTTTGAAGTGTTTTGATATCTCGTGCCAATGTTCAAGATTTATGACTCCGTCTTGTTTGTAAGTTTTGTTTTATAAATTTTTATTAATAAATAATTTATTGTTTATTATGATAACAATGTGATTGTGTATAAGTTTATTTATTTTAAATTGTTTATTCATTTTTATAAACTACAATGGGTAACACTTGATGTGAGTTTATTTGTGCATGTTTCTCTTGTTAATTTGAATCTTCTTTGGAGCTTTAGTTCATTAGATTATTACTTTCAATGCATATTTCATTGCTTTCTCATGGAGATATGGTTTAATGCGTGTTTTGAATGTTTTTACGATGTTTGTCAGTGTTTTGAAACCATTGTAGATCAATTGCAAAAGCAAGGAAAGTTCTAAGACAAGTTTGGAAGCCAAAATGGACTAAAGAGTGCTGATATAGAGGATTCGATGTGTCCAAAATTTCCAGTAACAATGGTTGTTCGAGATTTGAAGACTCGACGCGTCGAGAAATTCCAAAACGCGGCGTGAAGATTGGCGGCATAGACTTGACACGTCGAAAGTTCGTGATCTGCATTTAGAAAGCTGCGGGGAAATTTCTTAATCCATTCATATTGAGCTTCAACCCATCTTCCTCAACCCTAGGACTTCAAGTTGCATTTTTGGAGACAAAATAGAGTGAGAGACACCAAGAGCTACAAGTTACCTTGGAAGAAGGAGGAAAAGCTAGGAAGATTCGGGAGAATCTCTTTCCCTTTTCTTTTACTTTATTTGTTTCTTGTAAACTCTCTTATATTATTGCTATGAATGTTATTCTAGCAATGAGTGGCTAAAACATCTTAGGGATTTTTTGGTGAAAGTGTTTATGAACCTATGTGCCTAGTTCTTAAATTCATTGATATATTTACATTTGGGTTTTATGACTTGTGTTGCAATTGTGTTCTATTTGGTTGATGCTAGTAATTAAAGGCCTAAATTACTTGTTTCATTGCTATCTTCATGTCTTAATAGGAGTTAGGGCATATTTTAGAGCACCTACAAATTGCACATTGAGAGATAGCATATTAGGTAATATAAGGATTTATCTTGAATGCTTGTTCTTGAATTGTTGAGTGTTTATATCATGGAAATTAATATTCACTCAGTGTTATTTTAGGTTGGAGTTATGGGAGTAATTCATTCCCTTGTATGCATTCTCACACTTGTTTGAACTCAAACTAAATGTTGCACCTTAGATTGACACTATGTAATTAAGCACTTGGATCCCAGAAATCCCACTCTTACTATATTGTTTTCATCAACATGCTACCTTGTTCTCTTTTAATTAGTTCTTCGTTTACAATCAATCAATCACCCTTTTCGATAGGATTAGTTTCTCGTGAATAGATTAGTAGCTAGTGTTTGATACGCCCCGCCTCCCTGTGGATCGATAACCCGATACTCCAGATATTTTGTTTTTCAAAATATGCTGCAATCAATACTTGTGTGAGATCGTCTCACGGGTCTCAATCCGTGAGATGGGTCAGATCTTTGATTAATGGGTCAGGTCTTTGACCTCAATAATCAAATATTCGACCCGTCTCACGGATTGAGACCCGTGAGACGGTCTACACAAGTTTTTTGTCAACTACAATTGTTTATTTATGAAGGTACCGATGCAATCATTGTTTATTTTGCATTTAGGAACAAATAAATTTTTAAAAAATCATGATTATTGATGTTTATGTAAAATTGTGAAAACTTGTGGATCTCATTTTAAGTTATTTGACATTAATATTATTTTTTCCTATGTAATTAATTTTTAGTTTGAAAATATATGTTAACTTCACGTATGATCTCTTTCGTTGCTATGACCTGGACTATAACATGGGGTCATTGTTGCACTCGACACTCGGATCCTAATGCTAATTTCCAATAAACAATAATTGACACCAAGAGGAAGAAACTTAATTACAATTCAATAGAAATGCAAAATTCAATTGATCTATTAATCAATAAGTGAAACAATGCAAGGCGTACAATTAATTTGTTCTACAATCTCTTTTTGTCTGTTTTTTTTTTAATAATTAAACATGAGATGATGAAGCAATTAATTGTTGATGTGTTACTTGGGTCTGAGTTCAATCCCCTCAACAATGAGCCCTCCTTTTAGATGCTCACCCTTCACCTCTCTAAAGCTCATTTGAACCTCCTTCTCACTTCCATCATTGTAAAATTCGCCCAATTCTATCTCCAACCATCCATCATCTCGCTCACGAATCGTACATTCTTCTTGTTCATAAAGCCTTGACGACCTTAAAGTCTCAACCCGATTTAACATGAAAAGTCGTTCCATTACTTGTTTGTTGCAAGAATTTTGACGCAAATAAATGATTCTATCTGATTGGTGATTTCCAATTTTGATTGAAATTTCGGATGGTAAAGTGTCCAGGCCAAATGCACGGCCTGCCAACTTGAAGATAAAATAGGCCCCATAGGTTGTATTAGGAGACAACATTCGAGTGTTCATGTTTCCCTTTATTTCCAACCAAGAGACCATTATAAGCTCAACAATTTCTGGGAACCTGTTAAGAAAACAGAAGATGGGTAATAAAAGTTATCTCAAGTGTGTGGTAAAAGTCTAAAAGATGTTGGTAATTATAAAATTTTTGTTTTTCTTTTGTTTTCTCAAGGTGGCGAGTGCGACCAAAAATTTATACCAATTAATATTAATAACTTAAATATAGAGTTAATCAACAATTTAGTCTCTCAATTATTCTTCCAAAAGGAGAACCCCAACCCTAAGGGCCCCCCACACCCCGGCCCGGCAGAGCATTTGGGAGGATGTAAATCATGGTGACTCAACTGAACATGAACCACAGAGGCTAGACCGGTGCTCACTGCACACAAGGAGCCCCCCTCACACTGCCGCTGGTGAGACTCGATCCCTGGTCATTCTTCCAAAGTTTCACCTCTATGACCAGTTGAGCTACCCATGCGGGCTAGTCTCTCAATTATTGCGAACTGTAAATGTAGTCCCTCAATTGCTTATTCATCGATTTGGTCACCGAAAATAATTATTTTTAGTCAATTTAGTCCTTCCGGCTGTCGATTTGGACCCCGAAAATAATTATTTTTAGTCGATTTAGTCCCTCCAGCCATCGACGGAAGACGGCCTGAGGGACTAAACCGACTAAAAATAATTGTTACCGGGGACCAAATCGATGAATAAGCAATTGATCTGAGGAACTACATTGACAATTCGCTAATAATTGAGGGACCAAATCGTTCATTAACCCTTAAATATATAACCAACAATTAATTACTCAATAATAATAACTTATTATAGTATCTTAGCCTAATAAGAATTCATTATATAGAGGAGGAATTAATATAATGTGCCTTTCACAAATTTGCTATAAATAATTAATAGCCTTTAATTTATGAGAAAAGCTCGTAACCGTTATCTAAATGTGTTCGTTTTGGGTGAATATGGTCTTAACTAGCAAAGAATTATATTGTGGTTCTAGCTTACCTATAAAATACCACGAGAATGTAAACCAGCTTAAGTTATTCATAGTTGTAGACTTAAACCACAGATATAACCAGAAACTGGTTCCCTTCTGGAGAAGGCGACCAGAACCGCCTTTCCGGAGAGAGGCGACCAAGCGACCAGAAATGGTCGCTGGAGAAGGCGATTGGCGCGGGTCGCCGGCAGCCAATCTTTGGTCGGAAACGATGCCGCAACCCTAGTGACCTGCTATCACATGTCAGTAACCGATTTTTGGGCTTCATTGCACCAAAATAAAATGTTAATGAGTTTAATTGTAACTTTAAAAAAATTAGTCACCTAATTGATTTTTTAGGTAAAGTTCTATGATCTATTTGACCCTTTTCCAATTATATAATAACATAAATAAACATGAATTGACTATCTTATATAAGTAAAAACTAAATTTTTTCTCAGTAAAATTTGAAAACTTAAGAATGGAATTTACCTAGAACCCAAGAGGGGCTTCCAACACCAGTAGAGGGCATTTGTAGCAAAGGCAATTGAAAGCTCTCTGGCGCTCAAGGTGAGACACTTTTTACTGCTTTCTCTATCAATGCAAAATGTCTGCATATATATATAACCACATAAATACAGAAAACATTTGTGGCCACAATTAATCAAATAATAAAACATATATACATACCTTGTGGCCCCCATCTATGAGAAGAGGGCTGAGAAGCTTGACAAACAACTCTTTCTTGGACTGAAACATTATGGGAGAAACCAATCTGCATATGATGTCTCGATAATCCGACGGCAAGAATGTCTCCCATAGCAGCTCCGATTCAGCGGCGGCGCGTATAGCAGCGGAGAGCAACGACGATCGGCAAGCGAGGCTGGGCGGGACGTGAGAAAGGATTTGAACCACACAATCTTCGGGTAAGAGATCCAGAGATGCTTCGTTAATGGACGCCATGGTAGTCATGGATACTTAGCTTCTTAGGCGTTGGTTTACTTGCCACGGACTATATACAAGGTTTGGCAAGAAAGATGACAACATGGATAGGACATATGAGGACATTAGAATGTAACCCGCAAGTTATTTACATTTTGACCACCTAAATAACTATAATAACCTATTCTCTCTCATTCCTATTATCATATATATATTTGTCATGTTCCACGGGATACGTAGACATTGTAAAGATTATATGTAATTTATTAAAGCGAGAGTAAATGTCAATTTTGGTCTTGTGATGATAGGGGTTCTGTTAATTGCAGTCCACCACTTTTTAAAATGTTAATTTAGAACTTGATTATGCAATTTTTATCAATTTTGGTTAATCCGGCTATGTCAAATCACGCCAATAAATTTTAATAGTTAAAATAATAGGGGTATTTTAGACTTTTTGCATCTCTTTTCTTTCTTTGATCCCCTGCAACTTCACCATAGAAGGTCACCGGTAATGGTGAAGGCGTGGTAGAGACGGCACGGCTTGAAGGAGGAAGTAGCAACGGTCGGAGCTAGCGTTGCCCGAAGAAGGGGAAACGACGGGTAGCAAGCCAGGAACCCAGCCCACCTTCGTCGTTTCACCTTTCGCCGAGCTAACGTTTGTTGCCGTCCTCACCGCGACGCCTATGCCTCAGATTCCCCTCGTTGCAATACCAAACACCATAGCCTGTTGTCGTTGATATTAACTACAACACCGTGACTCTTTCGTTGTCGAATGGAGCTTGAGGAGCAGCAACAACCCGTCGCCGGTGTTACCCGAAGGAGGGAATGGAGCAGCAACGTCGTCGGGGAATCCAGTTTCGCCTCTGCTGCATCTCCTCACTGCAACGCCAACAACCACCGCCAACTGCCCTCAGCCGCAATGCCATGAATCGGAAAAAACAACGCCGACCAAAGCTTAAGGAGCAACAGCACTCCAGTGCCAACTCCACCGTCCAAAGCTTAAGAGAAAATAGACGCTGAATCCAACTCTACCATTACCGGCGACCTTCTCCAGCGAATTTGCAGGGGAGAAAGAAAAGAGATAAAAAAAGACTAAAATACCCTCATTATTTTAACTATTAAAAATTTTCAGCGGAATTTGGCCTGCAATTTAGTCGGAGTGATCAAAATTGATAAAAATTGCATAGCCAATGTACTAAATTAACACTTTTGAAAGTCGTGGACTGCAATTAACAGGACCCCTAAAGTGATATATTTCTAATTTTTTTTCCTTGGAAAATACTATATGTACTCCAATTCTCTACTCCCAACTTGTACTCCACACTTAAAATATTGATGTATATACTTTTACAGCTTACAGGGCATTCACATGAAGAAAATAACCTATCAAAGCCCGCCACACCAGAGAGTAAATTTGAGGGACTAAGATTTGAGAGTACATGAAGTAAAACCTTTTTTCTTATTATAAATGTCATCAAGTAGTTACTTGTGGTGTGCAACAATGACATGTTTGTGATGTGACATTTTGACATATTAAAGAGTGATTGTTTGTGAATGATAATGTACGTAGCGTGAAACATATTAGATATGTGAATAGCTAGCTTTTTAATTAGCTGCACAATTTTCCTGCAAAAAAATAAAAAATAAAAAATTAGCTGCACAATTTATGAAGCTATTTTTTTTTATATCTTTTAAACACAATTTATGAAGCTATTGTTGTTTTGATTTTGCAATTGTATAAATTGATTTATACTTTTGCTTGGAGTTTTTTTTTTTTTTTTTTAATTTTTTTTATATTGCAGTTGATGCCCGTTCTCTAATTGTAGTTTATGTCAGTTCTCCAGTTGCTATTAATGACAATTCTAGATTTCTAAGTAGATGGTGGTAAGGTGTGCTAAATAAATTTAGTTATACTCTACTCTACTAAGAAATAAGATATTCAACAATTACGCATATCATTTGTACATGTCAAATATTAAACTCTAAGTGTAATAATGAACTTATAATATACAAATAATGAACATTCAATTAATTTTATATTATTTTGTATATGTTCAAATAATGAACCTTAAGTATAATAATAATGAATATTCAATCTATTTCATATTATTTTATACATGTCCAAATAATGAACTTTAAGTATACAAATATTGAACGTTCTGCACATAGCAACATTTTTATTGGTTAATGGTCGGCAGTAATGCCCAACCATCATTTATAATTAGTTGAAATATACTATTGTATTGAACCATGATCCACATTGTTGTGTGGACCACGATTCACTATATAACCATTGTTATTATATACGGCCAACACGGGTCACATTACAATATGCTTTGTAACATATATATATATATATATATATATATATATATATATATATATATAATTCTTTTAATTATATTAATAAACTAGTTTTACACGCGCATTGCGCGAATGAGTTAATGCTCAATGTTTATAATTAAATAAATATTTGAAAGTATATCAATTCAAGATTATATATGAGAAGTTCATACATAAGTAATTCAATGTCGAATTTGTTTATTTAAATATGCAACTCGTAGTATATGAATACAATGTAATATAGGAGATTCATTATAATTAGTACTAAGTTTTTTTTTTTTTTAAATAGTAACCAAGTATTTTTTTTTTTTGCAAAATGTTCTAATATATTTAATGAATGCACATATATACAAGATCAATGAATAAATCAACAGTATCAGTCCTTTAGGTGTACTGGTTTACTCGTAAAAATTTACTGTAAAGCTATTTCGACTCCTTGAATAACAAGAGTAAGTTCCGCTGGCTCACTGCTTGCCCATCCACGGATGTGCAAGCTTAATTTTTAAATTGGAGCCTTAAGACTCCTTTTATATGAGCCTCAAGGCTCCCATGTCACTTTTCCCACCGATGTGGGAAAAATGGCAAAACTAAGGGGAGTCGAACGTTCAGCTCCCATATGTTTTTTTTTTAAAAAAAAATTATTTCTTTTATTAAATATTATTATTAACAGAAAAAATAATATTTAATTGAAAAGTTAACTGATAATCATATAATTAAGGATAAATTAAGAAATCTCAAGAAAAAATTAATATTTGATTAATTTGAGCCATTTATTTAATTAAAAAATTGACCATATCATTTTTTTCTACCCATTATAAGTCTAACTCTCTTTAGCTCTTATTAGTATATATAGTAGATATTCTAACATTAATCCTCGGTTACGTTGTAACATAGAAATGGTAGTGTTGGATATTTATCATTATGGTGTTTGGTAAACAGGACACTTATGTATATTGTACCATACAAAAACTATTTTAGTTCAGTAGTGTAAACCAAACTTTAGGCCCAACTTAGGCATGTATCATACAAAGGAGTAGGAATCGCAAATTATGCTGTGCAACCATGTGCACCATGTATGGTGTACACGGTTACAAAAATGACATCGTTTTGACTAAAAACGCGCCTTCTATTTAAAAAAAAATCAGGTTTGATTTCCGGCAATAGCATTTTTTGTGCATAATTTGAATTATATATCCACAAATTCATAATTATATATCCACAAATTTATAACTATATATGCACAGTGAATAAATAATACAAAATCCAGAATGAATAAACTAAATATCCACAATAAATGAACTAAATATCCAGAATGAATGGACTAAATATTCACAATGAATTAACTAAATATCCATAAATTCATAACTATATATCCACAAATTCATAATTATATATCCACAATAATTCATAACTATATATCCACACTAAGGTTGTTGAGGGGAATCGAAACTGATTTTTTTTTTTTAAATGGGACGTACTTTTTTAGTCAAAACAACATCGTTTTGCAACCGTGTGCCTCTGGCACAGCATAACTATTGAGTAGGAATTAGGAATTAGGTGATGGCCAGAAGCGAAAGTTGAAGCCTAATTCGTGCACTAGGGATATAAATGGGTAGTTGTATAGGATTTAATTATACCTTGCGTTATTCGGTGCTTTTAGGCGCAAATTATGCTCTGCAACAATTTAATGGATTAATAGCATTCAATTAAAGTAATTAAGGATTTTCCTTTCATATCACTTAATTTAATGTAGTAATGATGAAGATTAGATTAACAGAAGTAACGTAACACAAGGTCTGTACAATAGAGATATAGAAGTAAGTGGAAGAGTCCTAGTAGACTACACCAAGCAGTCCTAACACTCCCCCTCAAGCTTAAGGTGGACCAGCTGCAACATTAAGCTTGCCACGTAGAAACCGAAACAGGGTAGACGGAAGCGCCTTAGTGAAAATATCAGCTAGCTGATCCTTCGTGGAGATGAAATGCACCTGAATCTCTTTTTTGGAAACTTTATCACGAACAAAGTGGTAGTCAATCTCCACATGCTTTGTTCGCGCATGAAACACCGGGTTAGCGCAAAGATAGGTGGCGCCCAAGTTATCACACCACAGCTTGGGCGGAGACACCGGAGACAAACCAATCTCCCTCAGCAAAGACACAAGCCAGGTTACTTCTGCAGACACATCCGCTAAGGCCTTGTACTCAGCCTCTGTTGACGAGCGAGCCACTGTACGTTGCTTGCGACAAGACCAAGAAACGAGATTGCCACCTAGGTAGACAGCAAATCCACTCGTTGACTTGCGATCAGTCGGATTACCAGCCCAATCCGAGTCCGAGAATGCATGAATATCAGTGGAAACAGAACGCCTGACAAGTAGACCCAAGTCACTAGTGCCCTTGACATACCGTATAACCGTAACACCCGCTTTAGCATCCCCCAATGCGCCATGGTGGGAGTATGCATGTGCTGACAAAGCCGGTTTACCGCATATGACAAGTCCAGCCGAGTAACTGTAAGATACTGAAGTGCCCCGGCCAGACTGCGGATTGAGTAGGATCATCAAAAGGAGCCGAAGCAGAGTCATCACTCACCGCAAGAGACACCGGAGTAGCAACGGGCTTACAGTCAATCATACCGGCGCGCTTCAAAATGTCACCCATATATCGCCGCTGAGAGAGCAATAATCCATCGGATAGAGAGACAGTCTCAATCCCAAGAAATAATGATGGAGACCCCATATCACGAATCTTAATTAAACTCTGCCGCCAACTGAGCCACAAGCCCTGTCACGCGAGCCGAATCTGACCCCATGACCAGAATGTCGGCCACATACACAAGAAAGTAAAGCTGCACACCACCACGAGAATAATAAAACAAGGAAACATCAGTCTTAGAAGGAACAAAACCAATGGAGACCAGAAAAGTATGCAGTCGTGTGAACCAAGCACGGGGAGCCTGCTTCAGCCCGTACAGAGATCGCTGAAGAAGACAGACGTGACCAGGAGATGCCTTGTCCTCATACCCTGGCGGCTGCCGCATGTACATAGTCTCAGCAAGGGTGCCATTCAGGAATAAATTATGGACATCCAACTGACGAATGACCCAACCCCGGGACACGGCGAGCGAGAGAAGGAGACGAACAGTCGTGGGCTTGACAACAGGACTGAATTTCGTGGGTTTCGCAGCCAGAGACGATATCAAGAGAGATAGAATGGCCTGGTCTTGCCGGCGCCATATCTGTTGAACGAGAAGAGAGGGGACGACCCCACCGGCACTGTCTGCCGTCGAAGTCACAGGCGTCACCGCCGTCAGACAAGGCAGGGATCCATCAACGTATCCAAGTAACCCCTGACCATTCAAGAACGGAATCATCTGCGTTCGCCAGAATAAATAATTCCGGGACGTAAGCTTCAACGAAACAAAGTGGTGCGCAGAGGATAAATTTGAATGGGATGAAACGGGAGTAGGAACAGGCTCAGTAACAGTCCGTTCTGTAGAATCACGAACAGAACCATCATCATTGAGACCTGCCATGGAGAGAACCTGGACAAAACTGATACCAGATGAGGATTAGATTAACAGAAGTAACGTAACACAAGGTCTGTACAATAGAGATATAGAAGTAAGTGGAAGAGTCCTAGTAGACTACAACAAGCCGTCTTAACAGTAATGACCTTCAAATGTAATGTTAAGCAATTTATCAAGCACATATCTTAATTCTTAAATCTTAACATATTGGTGGAGTTAAACGGTGCCACTAAAGACACTGTTACTCTACAATAGTGAAACGACATCGTTTGCCTGAAAGTGAATTAAGGCTAAGACAGGCCCAAATGTTTCTAGCGCAGTAACCAGCTGTCGCCTTATCGTCTCTCTCTCAGCTCCACTACCTTCATCAATGGCGATAACCCATACGTTCAAGCCTCAAGTCCTAACCTCCTTCACTCCCTTACCAAAACCCATCAATGTCTCACACTACTTGGGCGTCACTCTTCCAACAACCCGAACCCTTCGTGGCCCATTGCGTAGCCTATCAAGAAGATTGTTCCTTCCTTCAGTTTCGGGCCTCTGGGATGCAATAACGGGCGGTAACTCTGCCCGCGAAGCGGTGATGGCCATTCGCCGTGGAATGCTTCTCTTCAGACAGGTAAGAATGTTGGCATTTCTTCCGCTATTACTTAGTTTTTCCAAGGCAGATTGTTTATAGGAGTAATCGACTCCCGTTGTGTTTATTGAAGGGTGATGTGCTGGGGTCTTTGGTGGAGTTTGACAAGGCAATTGAGCTCGATCCTCGCCAGAAAGAATGTGAGATTCTTTATTGAGCTCCATGTTTGAAAAATTAGCTATTTTTGTCTGTATAATTTTCAGTAGGGGTCGGGTTAAAGTGAGTTTGGGTTCTCTGAGAGGATTAATTTGATATATTATAAGCACCAGATGCATAATGATTGAATGAAAAATTGATTATCAAAGTATACCATTACGGGGAGTTTGGTTGGAAGAAAGGAATTAGGGGGAAATGAACGAGAAATAGAATTATTGGAATTGAGAAGGAAATAAGTGGTATAAAGACTAAAATACCCTTGTGTAATAATAATAGTAATAACAACCAAGGGTAGTAATGTCATTTCATATGTTTTTTCCTTTCTCAAATTCATTGAATTGCAATTAATTCAACAAATGGAGGGAATTGCAATTCCCTCCAACCAAACAATGTAATTGAGGCATCCACTGAATTGCAATTCAACTACAGCTAAATTACTGTGAACCAAACGCCCTGTTAGAGTTGGTTTGAAGGAGCCTTTGTCCCAATGGATGTGGATTTGCACTGGTGTATATATACAATTCCCTTTTAGGAGTTTGAATTGTATAGCATTGTTGAATTTGAATGATCCAAATGCCTGGCGGGTGGAGAATAACTACCACCTGCCAGTTAGGCGGAAGCAGAGATGAAGAATCAAGGAATGAGAAAATATATATTTTACGACCTTACTAACAAAATTTCTGGTGGTTATAGCATATAACTCGTTTTATGCACTTACTTGAGCCACCATTAGCTTACTGAACCAATCACTTTATGTTAACCATATATTATTATGGAACATGAACTTGTTACTTGTAATTTTTAGTTGAAAACTATGAATATGTTGATCTTTGATTTGGTGAATGCCAGAATACAGACGGGACTTCAATTTTTAGTAATGTAGATTTTTTTATTTTTTTTTTGGGTAATCAGATCTTTGGCAAAGGGGTTTGTCACTATATTATCTTGATAGGTAATGGAAATTTTCAATATTTCTTAATTCACTATTTGGTGGCATAAAATAAAGTGTAAACACTACGAAGTTAAAATTGATTTTATTTGTTTATAGGTTTGAGGAAGGTGCAGAGCAATTCCGGATAGATGTTGCCAAGAACCCTAATGACACGGAGGAGTCAATATGGTGCTTTCTCTGTGAGGCTCAGTTGTATGGAGTTGATGAAGCTAGAAGAAAATTTCTTGTGGTAAATAATTAGCAACCAGGCACAACATTAACCATTTAATTACCAGATAAATGGGTGGTCAAATTGCTTGGATATTCTTACTTTTAACACGTTTTGTTATAGTGGAACTCGATCTAGTTTTCTGGCATGATAATGACAATAAAAATATTCAGCTTCTTAATGGCCCAGTTTAGAGCAATATAGTTGTGACTTCCCGATTTCTCTTTTAAATACTATTTGTATGTCACTTCTGTGAGGTCGTTCTTCTGATCTATGGTGACACAAAATGAAGGATAGATATTAACGCTTACATGACAACTCATTTCGAATGCAGGTCGGTAGAGATCCAAGACCTGTTATGAGAGAAGCTTATGACATGTTTAAGGATGGTGGTGACCCAGAAAAGGTGCCGATTTCTCTCTTGAATGACTTTCTAACATTAATAAATTATCTACTTATTACAATTAACGTATTATGTACCTTCTGTTAATAAATTATGTACATGTTACAATTAACATATTATGTACCTTTAGTTTATTTACAGGCACATAATATGTTAATGGCGGGTACATAATTTGAATCTCGTTTTGGACCTGGATCCACAATGCAATGTGGACCCTGGGCGATGGTATAATTTGCCTCTAAATAGCATACGAGAAGATGATGTTCTTACCAAGTTCAAACTATTATAATGGGAACTCATAACAGCATCATGTTTTCATATTAAACAAAAATGAAGGAGATATGTTTCTGTATAGGAAATATGTATATGGATATTATTCTGTAGTCCGTTTTTACGTAGTTTATCCTCACAACATTGTATTTATGCGTAGCTTGTTGCGGCATTTTCCAGTGGGCAGCCAAACGAGTACTTCTATGCTTCTCTCTATGCCGGGCTATATTATGAATCTCAGGTTTCATTCCCAACTCAAACCAATCTATATATGATTTCAACTACTCAGGTTGCTTGAAATATTAACTATGGTGTTGCACATATAATAAATGTGCAATCTAATTATCAGCTTAGACTTTTAGTTGAGATGAAGCACATGCTTCAATTTGGTATCAGAGCCCTGCCAAAGGTCATGGGTTATATAATAAATGTACAATCCAACTCTCAGCTTAGGCTTTTAGTTGAGATGGAGCACATGCTTCAATTTATGGTATATATCCCGAATAATTTTGAGTATGCGTCAATATTTGTGAGATGCTTCAATGTTGCTTCTGTGAGAACATGGACTTGACTAGAACAGATCAATCTCCCCCGGGCATGATGATTTATTTGGCATTTTCTTCTTGCAGAAGGACTCAGAAAGATCGAAACTTCATCTGATTGCTTCATGTCAATCGCTTTATGGATCAAGGTCTGACGGGCGCTACTTGAATGCATAGTTATACTTTGTATGTATATATGATACAAGCATGAAGAAAGTCTAATAACTGGTTTTATATATTCTCAGGTCTGACGATTACATGGTTTCTCTTGCCAAGGTTCATTGCCAATGTCGGAATTGGAACTTTACTTGACCGAAATATTCACCAAATCGCTGTAAGAATATATGGTTTCAGACCTCCTCATTCCTAGAACTAGTTATTGGTATATAGATTACAACAATCATATTTCATTTACTACATATTTTGTTGAGTGTGGAGTACATGTTGGGAAATGATCAAGTCTAACAGCAATGTAAGTAACCTAACTGCACTAACTTTTCTTGTGTAGCCACATTTTACTCTTTGTTTAATTCATTTAATATTTGGCCATTTTATTAGTCTAAATACGGGTTTAAAGGTGCCTCCTACAGTTAGGGCTCTGCTCAGGACACATCGTGGTCTGACCAAAAAATATTTGGCCATTTTGTATAAGAAAAAATTGTCAAATAAACTATTGATTTTATTGTTTTTGCGTAATTGAGCTATTGAACCCAGTGTTATCAAGGCGTCGCCTAGGCGTCCGGTTCGGTCAAGACCGAACCCCTAATGTGCTCGCCTTGCCTAAGTGCAGAATACAACCCAAAACTCCACAAAACATACATGGGCATAACCTACACACTAAGGCGAGTTGACCGGTGTAATTTCTAGCCGGAAAAGTCGCCGGAATCTGCCTCACGCGCCGGAGTGTGGTGTCGGAGTAGCGGCACAGCGGCGCGTGGAGGCTCTGATGGCGGCACGGTTCAAGCTCCGGCGTCGTCCTCCTTTCCGAGCAAAGCCACTACCTCACTCTGGCATGTTATCAATATATACTAGACTTCTCACC